GAAAAATTACTTGGATTCTTTCCCCTTCCCGTACTACATTGTGCTAAGAGACATCGAAGCCTTACCCAGAACACTTGGTGATGTGTTGAGACAGGTAAACTTTTCACTATCCATCCTCTGTTTTCTTTTTCTTTTTTTTTCTTTGTGAGGGAAAATGAAAAAACACTTGTTCAAAATATTCAAAATATGACAACTTCTGTTTTTGTTTTTGCAGTGGTTCGAGCTGATGCAAAACTCACGGGACTGAACACTTGTTGGAAGAGTAAATGTGTCGAGGGCCTGTAAAAACCGTAGCTTAACTTTAGTTTGTAAACTACATTTGTATAATAACATCTGTATACAATAACCTTTGTTACTCACATCAGATCACAAAAAAACTGTTATTGCTACAATGTCTTTATATATAATATGTGTGAAAGAAAAGACCCTCTTCTCTTGTCCTTCGATTTCTCACAACTTTTATTGCTCTCTCCCATTCAAACCTGTAATTAGATTCACACCACACAGTTTTAGTCTTACACATTGGACCATTGCGGATGTTAAATAGGATTTATACACACTACCATTGCATGTAACATCGTAATTTTATATAAATATATACAGAAGTAAAGAACTGAACCGTAATGATCAAATCAAAAGTTGATTTGATCATTCGAATATTTATTTACTTACTTCAGTTTTTCAACAATCTTATATCTTTCCTCTCCCATTTACATTGCTTTATTTTCTTCTTTTGACCCCCAGAAGAAGCAAATTCTCTACTAACTAAAATATAATACTTAGTCACTCACATGATATGAATCACTTTTTTTGGGGTTAATCATCAACACACTGTACTGTATATGACTCTTCTTAATACTTTCCTTCAAAGTTTTTCCTAAGAGTATTACTTTACTAAACATATCAAACCAAACAAGCCAAATAAGACTAATGTAAATTTAACATTCGATCGGAGTAACAAAAAAAAATAAACTCAAAAAATGTATTGGAAAAATATATATGAACAAGGTAAATCTATATATTAGCAATGCAATAAAAGAAGAAGTTTGTAGTTAGTTCTTATATCTCTTGGATCGGACTAAACCTAAAACAACTAAAAGTCTATGAAAACAGTCGGCAAATTATGTAGTAGTGGAAACACTAATCGGTGTTTTAAGTTTTTAATTTGTGATTGATTAGAGAGTATGGTTGTTGGTAACATTAATTGGTTGATTAAAGGTACTTACCGACTAAATTTTTAATCATGGCAAAGAAAGAGAATTAATAATTGATCATTTTGTTGATTTGACCAAATTATAAAATGGGGTTTATGTATTGATTAACAAAGAAAATTATAAGGTATCTTTTGAAATTTTGGCATGCGATGGGATTGTGTTGCACGTTGTGGAAAAAAAGGAATTGTTCAGTCTCACACTTTCGGATTTTGAATTAAGGTTTTTTTTTTGTTTTGTGATCATCTTTGTTGATTCTGCAATCTTTGACTAATTGTAATACTAATCATATATTAATTACACTCTGATCTTCTTCTTTTTATTTGTAATGGAATCTTGATGTATCTAATCTAAAGATACAATCTATTTGGATGTCACTACAAGAATGATCCACTAGATCTTTTATTAGATATGTTATATGACATTGATTTACCCTTGTTGTGATATATCATACTAGTATATAGTATCTTCTTCTTGATTATATATCTTTTAGTTGTTTATACAAGTTTCAAGACTATGAGTTATTAATTATTGAACATGAGAAGAAAACAAAAAAAAAATCGGAATAAGGTAGAAAAATTATGCTGTCATTATTAAAAGAAAAATTATACTGAATAAAAATCGAAAAGGAAAGATTAAATATTCATGAATTTTCGAAATAGCAAAGTTACCGAACATATATGAATTTCAGAAATTAAATTGTATAAATTGTTTTATATGAAGAAACCATATTAGACTTCAAAATGTAATTATGCTCTTAAGGATATTAACTTTCAAAATATTTTCATCATTATTAGTAACTTTAACATCTATGTTAATTTCTTAGAATAATCACAGTAATCAATCTCTAGACAAACGTTAACGATATTTTACAACAGTAATTAGTATAATATATAGCAAGAATTAAGCTTAAAATGTAATATATTCAAAGTGAAGGAGACATCCTTGATTCAAGGGTTGTATCAAACATGTTCTTAGGAAAAAGAAAGTGACGTGAAAAAGATAACCAAAACAGTGTAAGATAAATAGTATTCAGATATGTTTATCTTTTAGTTTCTGTGGATTGTATAAATCTGAGTAGCTAGTTTTATTATATGATGTATACAAGTTTTTTTATTTGCTTTTCATATTCATTCCCCAAGATACGCAATCTTTACCCATCACTGCTTTTGCTTTCTAAATTGACGGCAAAATCTTCTTTCTAATCATAAAAGTATATAAATTGACATACCTGTAAAAACCCACACCAATTCTTTTAGACCAAATTGATAGTTTAATTATTTTTAATAGTTAAAGATTAAAATATATTCAAGTAATCTTAACTATATTACAATCATCTACTTGATAATTTTACCAAACAAAAAATCATCTACTTGATAAGATTTTTTTATTTGTTCAGCTATGGAGTTTATATGTTCGAACACATCAATATTACAGTTACAAAGCATAGGAGTAGAAGTTAAAAATACAACTAGTGGCAAAATCTATATAATTTTTTTTTGTATATCATGTTCTAAATTTGTGAATTTTTACCACTAACACCAAAAGTAAAATTTTTGAAAAAAAGACTGCCTTTTTTAAACAATTCTTACCGCACTGTCAAATGATATTAACATTCATTGAAGTTTAGAAAGTATAAAACTATATTACTTCCTCCGTTCCACTTTATAAGATGTTTTAGTATTTTTAGTTTGTTCTACTTATTAATTTTTTTCAGTTTTCTATATGCACAATTTCTATTATTTTAATTGTTTATGATTATTTAAAATTTACAGTATATTTTCTATTGGTTGAATTTTAATCAAATGATATGATCTTTATTATTTTTTAACTATTGTGTTTTTAACCAAAACATCTTAAAGACGAAAATATGTGTTAAATTATAGTGAAATCATCTGTAGCAGAAATGGATCAGCTTAATGCACTCAAAACCATAGATACAAAGTGTGCACTTGAGATAAGTCAATCACCCAAGTGGATAAGCACGCAGAATCATGAATCTAGTTATTGCCAATATGGAAAATATTTAACCAATTTAGGATTTGACTCAGATATGGTGAACATGCGAACTCAGCAGCTATTCTAACCCGATGGCAATAGGAGGCTAAGTAAGGATTCAGCACCCATCAATTCAAGCCCAAGGTAACACACGTTATAGAAAGAGAAAATTGTGGAGAATGACATGAACAGTGGCAAAAGTTTTTTGGAGTGCCATTTTTTAAAACCTCTTTCAAAACATGCCATAGAGTCAATGTAAAAAGACTATGCTATCCTTCTCATCAATGAAATCTTCAAAACATAATTATTTTCTTCTCTTTCATTATCTCTCTCTTCTTCTTCATCTTCAACTTTTTTTTTCTTATTCCAACAACAAACAGTACCGACGGACCAGATCCGACGGACGAACTCCGACGGACCAGATCCGACAGACGAACTCCGACGGACCAGATCCGACGGACGAACTCTGACAGACTAGATCCGGCGGACCATAGCCAATTCCGGTGAACTATAACCAGTTCCGTACGGCAGACCACATTCAGTTCTGGTGAACTATAACCAGTTATGGCAGACCAGATTCGGTGGACCAGTTTCGACCAACTAGAAAGACCAGTTCCGACAGGCGAAATCCGATGGACCAGATCTGATGGACCTGTTTCGATAGACCAATTCCTGGGGACCAGATTCGGTAAACCAGTTTCGACAGACGAGATCCGATAGACCAGATCTGATGGACCACACATTTGTGTGTAGATGGACTAGATCTGGTGAACCAGATCCGATGTCTGTAATATGTCCATTTTTGTTTCCTAATTTATTGTCCATCATACGTTGTGGCACAGTTTGAAAGATGTTTGTGTCCAAAACTCACTCAATAATGCTGAGGGTAAAATCGTCCAAACTTTCCTCTTTGTGGCACGTTTTGAAAGATGTTTTTCATAATGGCATTTTAACAATTTTGAATTTAAGAAATGGCATAGCTTACAAAATTCCCTTATAGAAAGGTACAAATGTGGTTTTCACTTCTCCGAGCTAAGCTAACACTTGTAAAAATGTTTTCTTCATTTCGATATTTTTAGCGCAAAAGCAATTTAAAACGTTATTTTTTAATTTAATATCAAAAATTTACATTCATATATATATATATATATAATCTATATGTTACAAAAAAAAACTAACAATGTTTTCAGCTATATTATTTTCTTTTTCGTAAAAAGATTTTTTCTGCTTTATTCTCGTTACTCAAAAATATACGTATATGTCTTACTCTTACAACAAAGTTATATACTACTTTCTCAATTATACTCTCGTTATAAGAAAATCGAACTTAAAATAAATTAATTTTAAATCTCACAATTTCTAGCTAACTTTCAGCGATCATATATACTTATAGACTTATAGTATTAACTAATAGTTATTGTTACATTCTACAAATAAACAAAATTTGAAGGATTACTTAAAGGTTACAGCCAAAATCTTTAAATCATAAACTAGAAGCTTTAGCACCATCCACAATATATGTTATAATTATTATAATTGAATTTAGGATCTTCCATTAGTTGGCGAATTTTCATCTTCTTACGTGTTTATTTATAATAAAAATAAATAAATAAGAAAAAATTGTCAAAAGTACTAAACATTTTTGAAAAAAGTAGATGATTAAATTAAAGAAACAAGAATAAGATATTATTATAGTTTTTTTATTTTCCTCCACTCTGTCTCTGCAGCACCTATATAATAGATGCTTTGGTACTCAGCAATGTTGTTCCGTATCTCTCTTTCTCTCCTTTCTCAAAACCTCTTGTTCAATTTTTGAAATAAAATAAAGAAAAATTAAAGATGATGTTTACATTAGTACTAAAGTATATCCTCGTGATAGTCATGACTTTGATATTGAGAGTTCTATACGACTCTATTTGTTGTTACTTCCTCACACCAAGACGCATCAAAAAGTTTATGGAACGTCAAGGCGTCACCGGCCCTAAACCTCGCCACCTTACCGGAAACATCATCGATATCTCGAAAATGCTCTCTCACTCTTCTTCTAAAGATTGTTCCTCCATCCACCATAACATTGTCCCACGACTTCTTCCTCACTACGTCACTTGGTCTAAACAATACGGTACGTATAGTCATGACCGGTCCAACGTTTTCAAATGTCCTTAGTAATATTATAAAAGTTGTGTCATTTTAATATATTTGTTTTGTTACAAAATTGAGGACATGCGTATAATACATTTGCAACCATATTACACACTTTTACACTTAGGCCATGTCGTTGTCAAGAAAATAACTGAAAATGCTCTTTTACAGGGAAGAGATTTATCGTATGGAACGGGACAGAACCGAGGCTATGCCTGACTGAGACAGAGATGATTAAGGAACTGCTAACAAAGCACAACCCCGTCACCGGGAAATCATGGTTGCAACAGCAAGGGACTAAAGGGTTTATCGGGCGTGGACTACTCATGGCCAACGGCGAGGCTTGGCACCACCAGCGTCACATGACGGCTCCAGCTTTCACACGTGATAGGCTCAAAGGATACGCTAAGCATATGGTGGAGTGCACGAGTTTGATAGCGGAGAGGCTTAGAAAGGAAGGTGAGGAAGAGGTGGAGATCGGAGAGGAGATGCGGCGGCTCACGGCGGATATAATCTCGAGGACGGAGTTTGGAAGTAGTTGTGACAAAGGAAAAGAGCTTTTTAGTTTACTCACTGTCCTTCAACGTCTTTGTGCTCAAGCCACTCGCCATCTTTGTTTTCCCGGCAGCCGGTAAGTATTATTTATATGTTATTTTTGTGTTAGAAATAAGAATTATAGATTGTGTTTTGGTTCTCACGGTTTTGTAGTGTTACTTAATTTAAGTATATCCACTAACATATTAATTAAATTAGAAGAAATAAAAATATGTTACATGGTCACTATTTGTGTATTTTGTTTGAGATAACTTAAAGACGTTGCATGGTCACTGATGACTTAACGTGTAATTTATCTTTGTGTCTCAATAGGTTTCTACCGAGCAAATACAATAGGGAGATAAAGTCTTTGAAAACAGAAGTGGAACGTCTTTTGATGGAAATTATAGAGAGCCGAAGAGACAGCGTAGAGATTGGTCGGAGTAGCTCATACGGAGACGACCTCTTAGGGCTTCTCTTGAACCAGATGGATCGCAACAAGAACAACCTTAATGTTCAGATGATAATGGATGAGTGCAAGACATTTTTCTTCACGGGTCATGAGACAACTTCTCTTCTCCTCACGTGGACTCTCATGCTCCTTGCTCATAATCCAACCTGGCAGGACAAGGTTCGTGAGGAGGTCCGACAAGTTTGTGGCCAAGATGGTGTCCCTTCCGTTGAACAGCTCTCAAGTTTTACTTCGGTACGTTCTTTTCACTCACCTACACCGTTACATTACTAAGACATGCATTTAGTCTCGGACGTTCTGATTGTGACCAACTCATTGACAATAACTCAACGGCTTTGGTTAATCAATATAGTGCCAATTAATATAATTTCTAAATTTTTAAATAATAAATACATGAAAATAAATATCTAAAATATATTAGATCAAATCAATAATACGAAAAATAAAAGTATAGTTAATCATCGACTAACGGGATGATTGATTGATTGGGTGTTACGCCATCCTCGAATGCTCGAGTAGTACATAGTGAACTATGAAATATAGATTTTCATTAGTGTTTTAAATTAAATAATTTTTTTTAAATGTTCGTATAGCTAGAATTCTTTATTTAATTATTTTCATCTTTATTAACTATATAGTATATAAATAAGTAAAGGTGATCTAGTTGACCAAATAAAATTCAGAATTCTTTTGAATATCTTAAAAGCAAACTGAAAGAGAATGATCTTACGAGTTTCACGTTTCCATTATAATTTTACATGAACATAATCTTATAAATCTAAAAAACTATAAGATATACAAAGAAGTAAGAACAATAGTATAACACAAAACAAAAGTCGTTTAAAACAATTGAAGCATATATTGTGCTAATGTCTTATGCGTTGTTATGCATATACACATGTCTACTAAGTTTTGACTTTGGTCGAGAATTGAGATAGAATCACAATTATATCTTTCATTTTTATAAAATGTTTTTAAGCTTGTAAGGCCAATTTTTATGGGTGCGGGGTGGGGTAGTACCTTCATTCAAAACCCACACTACAGGCAATGCCACTAAGTCCTAGTGCTTCTTCCGTAACTAAATCTCTCAATTAGTACATATCTCGTCAACTTTAATATGATATATCTAGATAATTTTATTAATGTGTACGTTTTGCCATATCTTATTATTATGTAGTTTGATTGAAGTCCGATCATTCATTTCAGGTGATGACATTAGAACAACGTGTATATATATTAGACCAATATGAAATTTTCATTAGCATTGCTTCAAAATTTGATTCGACAGACCCATAGAGAGAAACTCATGATGAGACTTTCCATATTTGAAATTAAACTAATGCATATTTTAAATTTTTTGATAATGAGATAAATAAAATATTCCACTTGTTGAAAAGATTAGCACTACAACATGCTTTGCATAAAAATACTAAAAGAAATCATTCATTAAACGATTTTGACAGCTTGAAAGGCAATTCTTAAAACCATGTAAAGATCTATGTGAGAAAGAGTCATAAGGCACTTCAAAAGAGGGTTAGATATGATATCTTAAAAGAGTTTGCTATAGTTTAATATTCAACTAACTTATCTTTCTTTCTTTATTTTTGTTTTCCTCTTTCAACAGTTAAACAAAGTGATAAACGAGTCACTAAGACTTTACCCTCCCGCTACTCTTCTACCAAGAATGGCATTTGAAGACATAAAACTTGGTGACCTTGTCATCCCTAAAGGTTTATCTATATGGATCCCTGTCCTTGCAATCCATCATAGTAAAGAATTATGGGGCGAAGATGCGGATGAGTTCAACCCTGATCGATTTGGGACTAGAAGTTTTGCATCTAATCGACATTTCATGCCTTTTGCGGCTGGACCAAGGAACTGCATTGGCCAAACTTTTGCAATGATGGAGGCAAAGATAATACTAGCAATGCTTGTTTCCAAATTCAGTTTCGCGATATCGGATAACTATAGACATGCTCCTATAGTTGTTCTTACTATAAAACCAAAGTATGGAGTTCAATTAGTTTTGAAGCCACTTGATTCTTGAAAGGAGGCAAATGTCTAGTTAAGCTGTCTGAGAGAGTTCTCATTTTTGAGTGACATGAGGGATTTGTAACTGAAACGATTTTGAAATGAGAGTATAATATAATGAAGTCTTTTTATTTACTTATTTACTTGATAATTACAAATAAAAATAGGTGGCAAGTTATTTCAAAAAATTGGTCACAACATGCATGCATGATTAACTCTCTATCCGACACTCGGGCCTCATGACACGGTGGTTCTCATCTCGCCATGGCCCGAAATGATACTCTTTTGTTTTACTCATTATTAAACTATAAGAACAAAAAAAAAAATGAACGTTTAATTTTGATGAACTCTCACACAATTAGAGATTGTCTTTATTTCAAATTGAATCTGATCCTCGTTGCTTGATGAGAAGAGCCAAATTACTCAAAGTGCTTCTACCTAAAAAAACTCTAATGAAATTTAATTTGATTACTAATCTGTAGTTTTTGGTCTTACTCCATTGGTGATTAATATGTAACTGTAAGAGGTAACCTATAATCATTCCATTTGAGGAGGATACTTTTTTTTGGGTGCAAATAACATTTGACAGACAAAAGTAAGAAAAAAAAGAATCAGACCAATGTCCAAACTATACAACATGAAAATCTTTAAAGTCAACTTCTATAAAATAATGAAAAGAAATACAAAGTCAAAATGAAGTGGAAATGCACTGCATCAAACAACTTTTAACCTTAGAACAAGGTTTTTTTTATAATAAAGATTTACAAAACATTTACCAAAACTAATGATTTTATCAAGAATCTAAAAGAAAGTCACATTGCAATTTGCAGGTCATTGGAAAGAGGGTGAAAAGTTGGTTGATGGGTACAAGTTTTTGAAAACAAGTTATAAGTATACTTTCTTTTGTCGACACACTTATTTATATATTTTCTGTCGACATGCTTATTTTCACAATTTCACAATCTATAGTCTCGCTTGAAAGGTTAATATGCTCAATAATAATTACATTTTGCTAACAAAAAAAAGTCATGAATTCATACTTGTTGGAAACTTTTCCTTTTTCGAAGTTTCACAATTCATCGTGTTCGAACAATATTTTGATGTGAGTATTATTGAGTATATTAAATGCTTTGATGAAACGTTAACTACTTGATTAAACACATATAGAAAATATATTTTTAAAGTATTAATTAAATACAACACACACACCTGAAGAGTTTTGACGGTTGTCTCTGTGTAAAGGCCACATTGTTTTTTCTTTGGCTCAACTCTAAGGTCACATTATGTTCACCTAAGCCAAAAACAATGGGTCTATATTATTTTTTTCTTTTTATTTTGGACTGTATAGGGTGAAAAGGTGAATTTCGAAAAAGAGAGCTATAGAAACTCATAATTATATAGTAAAATGGGTTCAATCTAGATAAGCGTTTAGATAATAAAGAAATCATGGCAAGTAATAGGAATGATCATAAGTGATGATGGGCTAACGAGTTGATATTTTTTAGTTGAGTTTATTTTGTTCTTGTTTTAGGTCAGCACTTATAATGACTATAAGCTTGATATTTTGCATCTTATCTTCCATTATTTAAAGTGACTGAATCGATAATGCACCTTATTTCTTAACGGAGAAAATGTCAACTAGTAAACCTATATAAATTCCAACTTTTAAAGCTCTATTTCTAGTCTAATACTCATGTATTGAATTAAAACTCTATTTTGCACCAAACATATTTATGAGAAGTAATTTGAATATTACCCATATGAAGTTCTTAATTAGAGAGTCAATGTTTAGGACCACGATCCAAATTATAAGATTTGTTAGTCTTTTATTAGATTTTCTCATATTTTGATGCATAATTTATGTTTTTCTTTATCTTAATTGTTAAACTAAACTATATCAACACTATTGACACTCTAATTGTAGAAGTAATTTGTGGTGGAGGTGTGCTGCAATTTGTATGCAATGTACACATTTTTTTTCTTATTAAATAATCATTGTCTACTTGGGATAAATAACTAAACTATAACTTTTGCAATTGTGTGTACATGAGTTTATCTTTTTGGCGCTTGCATATGATTAGACACACCAAAAAAATCTCTTTTTCTGTATTCTATTGTTGTAAGATAACATTTTAAATTGAAACCACTGACGAGAAAAATGAAACTTGAAACCACTTAACTCCCAACTCGTAAACTTCATAACTGTCTATCACAGAATTGACTAGTTTATTTTCACATCAAGTAAAGGTTGCTATAATTGAAATAGTATATATTTACTTTCAAAATGCATAAATTGGTTATGAGAACTACTTTTCCTTTCACCTTCAAAAATGTAATAGAAACCATCTAAACTTGTAACAATTCATTGTACCAACAGTTACATTTTTCGAATAAATTTTACATTCTATTAGAAAAATGAAATTAACTAGTTTATTGTCACATTGTTAAATCTTAGCTCTAAAGCCCAAAGATTGTTAAATTCTAGTTCTAGCGCCCAAAGATTGTTAAATCACCACTATTGCCATGCATTGTTAAAACCTCGGATTCTTCCTTCAAATTTACTTGATTTACTTCATAAATCCGGAAGGTTAACACTCGAATGAATTCTGAAACCAACGGAGCAAACATAAAGATCAGGAGAATCTTCGGTAACCCCCTCTCCTTGAGATATGAGTGTAAAGTGTAAACGAGAAGATAGAGATGGACAAATTAAAAACAAGGGTTCAAGTCCGAAAGAGTTGGGCCATGTTGTTTTGTTTGAATATACAATTCAACCCAATGAACGAAACTTATCTAATAAATGACTAAATCTATCTTCTTCTCTTGTCTTCTTCTCTTCTCTAACAAATTTACTACACATATAGCTGAGTCATTCGGTAACGGTTCATACATACAAAAGGGCTTTTTGAGACTCAAAAGTAAAAACAATTCACCATCAAGCAACCTAGATTTTTCTTTTGTATTTGATCCCAAAGATTTCTAAAAAGAGCAAATTTTGTTAAGACCTCTACACATTTATGAAGAACTAACAAACATGCAAAGAAAAAGAAAAAAACACAAAACAAAGAGAAGAGAGAGATTCGTTAATCTCTATTTGTACACCTAAAACTCAACAACAAAACTTGTTACTAATAAGACCAGGCCAAAAAAAAAAGAAGAAGAAGCAAAAGCACCATTCACTCACTGCACACGAGTCCGAGCTCAATCTTACACGTGTCCTCGTCCTCACTCGTGCCACACCTCTCCAACTTTCTTTTCTTCATCGGCACCACCACGTGACTCCCACGTGCCAAAGGCTCTAACCCCAAAGTCAGCTCAAGCCCGATCCAAGTCTTTGGTTCCTCCGTCGTCGTACCTTCAGACGACACTGGCGACTCATGACTAAGCGATGACTCGTGGCTCTGTGACCTCACGTTTCTCTCTTCCTTGCATGCACCACGGCTCCGTCTCTTCACGCTCTCCTCCTTGCTTGACACGTGTCTTATGTCACAAAGCTTGTTGTTGTTGTTATAAGGAGGAGCTTGACCCGTAACAGCCGCGTCAAAAGCTATCGGAGTCACCGGAGAGCCTCTCATCACCGCCTCCACCGCCGCTTGACAAAGATGCCAATTTCCAGACCACAATAACCCGACTGATCCATATATCGGATTCACAATCCTCCCGCATGCTTCATACAACAATGACCTAAATATTGCTACACAATCAAAAAAAAAAAATCAAGAACACATCATTAGTTGCATGCTAGAGAAAGAAACAAAAAAGATGCATGTGCTTCACAACCTATAACAAGTAAAACATAACACAAGAGATGGTTTTAAATAAATACCAGGACGGAGATGGTCAGGACCGGTGTTGAGGAGGTTCATGAGACCAGCACGGCCGTAGAATTTTGCGAGGAAGACAGTGGCGTTGGCTTGAGATTCAGCGGATTTGATCCATTGAAGACAAGGCCTTATGCTACAGTTTTCACTACAGCCTTTACGAAGAACTCGACATCCATTACAGCTCATACGCATTTTTAGAGAGGGGGAACAGTAAAAAGATATTAAAGGGTTTTGTGTTTGGGTTTGAGGGGAAGTACAGTACGGGTCAGATCTTCGAAGAAGGAAGAGGTATTTAAGAGGGAGAAGCTGATGGGTTTGGTCGGAGAGATCATAACAATTAAACAAGGGTCGGACTTTGTCGTCTTGTTTGTGACGTGTAGTTTTGCTCTTAAAAAAAATCAAAGTAATAAATTATGTATGATTTTTAAAGAGAAACTTTTTTAAAAAAGGCCGATAGATTATTTTTGTGGATTTTATGAATTTATGAAGTAAATGACAAGAATAAGAAATTTTATTTAGCTAAGTGAAAATTTGTTATATTGTAATCAGCATATGACAAAAAAAAAAAACTACATTTAAATCATCAAAATGTATAGCCATATAATAACTATCGCAAACTTCCTATACCAAAATATAGAGATTTAAAAATAAAAAAACATATAGAGATTTATATAATTAATGAAACGTATTAAAACCTGTTATAGAAATTATTTACACTTTCCGCAACATTATGTTTACTTTTTTTCTTTAATATGATTCTTTTCGTCCATTCTTAAGTTTATTCAAACATGAATTTGCTGTCAATTACTAAATTTTCATGGTTTCTAGAATGAAATTTTTTTAATAACTACGAATTGAGAGTAATACCATATGCTATATATATTATGCTTTTGAGTTTTGTTTGTCTCGTCCTCTCATTCGTAGCTCGTGGATCGTTCATCGACCAAACCAGTCAATATGTTTTGTTAAAATTGGGTTTTACATCTGACCGCAGTTTGTTTTTTATTATCACCAAGACCGTTTAATGTTCGGCGATTAAATATAATGGAATTTGCCAAATTTTTGGAGAGGGTGATAGAATCTGAAAACGAAACTATTTAGTCTATTACAAAGAGGAGAAAATGGTAAATAAAAGAGAGGTTCGAACTTCAAAGTTCGCATGCAAAGCGAGAGAAAAAAAGTGTGATCGCGGCGTGGCGGAGACATTGTGGTAACAGAGTTTGGTCGAATCGCCACATTTTACATTATGTAGCTCCATACATTAATTATGATCATTAACATAAAGACTTATCTATACTAATTAATGGAATCACTTTTAACTAATAGTGGTACGTAGAATATTTCACTCTTTATCTAATTAATAATGTCAATGTTTATTGGTTAGATTCGATCGGTAGTTTGCTTTTTTCATTAAAACAACCGGCATTGAATAATGGCGATGTCTAACCTAACTTGTGTTACTACTTCTCTTCAATTAAAATATAACACACACAATGCAATATTTTTGGAAATGTCTATAGGATGAACTAGGTATAATGCTACAAATATATGCTAGTGTATATATTTACATATAAAAAATGTCTATTTAACGTACATCAACAGATTAAATATGAAAAACCATTGTTCTTATAAAATTAATTATGATTTCAAACCGATTGGAAGAAACATAACCAATAGTTTGAGTTCTATTGATTCAGTTTATTTATATTCAGTTCGGTTGAAATATACATAACTAAAGATTCAGAGTTTCCTCTAACTATTTTTTTTTATAATCTATATGGTTTTTGATATAATAATTTTGTTCAAACTCGTCTATATATGTTTGGACCAGTTTTGTTTTGTTTTTCTTTCAACTATTGGATCAGTTTGGACAAAGTTGTAAATTTTGGGACACCTAAATAAATGGTGAGAAACGGACAGAAAGGAACAACCAACAAGTGTAGAACAAACTGACAGAAGATAATAAATATTGTTTTATAACTTATATACTATAGTAATATTAATCAAACTTGACGTAACCTCAAATTTTTTTTTCCGATAACTGAGGTAGTAGTTAGTAATATAATTATATAAGTCACGACTCAAAAAAAAAAAAAAGACAATTAAGACAAATGTAGGAACTAAACCAGTTTCGCATAATATTCTCTATGGGCATAAAATAGACAGTTTTCGAGTTATTTCTGGTCAACGTGGTTTTGGATTGGAGTTATTCTTCTCACTCTCGAATTTATTTTGCATTGACTAAAATACACTGATTATAATCTAAGTACCATTGTTAAGCAAAAAAAAAAATAACCCAATTATTTAAGTTGGATCGGCTTTGCAAATCTAAAGAAAGTGGTGGAATCATTAATTCTAAACATTGGCATTAACTCTTTCTAGTTTATTTAGTCGACCGACCTTTTCACATAGTTGACTTCGATTATCTCATCCCTAAGTCCCTAACTACTTAACATAATCATGCGACCAAAAAAAAAAAACTAAAACAAAGCATGGACACGATTATCTTTACTTCAACTAATCATACGAACAATCAACTATTAGACGACTCTATTAGAATTAGACTGTAGGCTCTAATTGTCTAGAATTCCCATTTAGTTACTAAGGAAAACATATTATAGCATATGATGTGATGTACTCATTTGCGATCGATAATCATGACAAAGAACAAAAAATAATGGCTCCTCCAAAAATAAAGAGAGTCTATTATGAAATAGATTTGCAAATTGTTTCAGGAAATTTAGAACTCCTGTAAATTTCTAATATAATTAAATGAATAAAACTTGTTGTAACTCTTAATTATAAATATAATCAATGGTACATTAGTACATATATAAGTGCAATATACACTTTTTACATGCTTAAATAGGCCGTATTGATAAACAAAATTACAAAACTGATGATGAGCCGAAAATATCATATTTCTATAAAATGATTGATATATAGACAGAGATCATATGATAATTCATTAAAAAGCAAATTCTTAGGTATACGGGTTGAAAAAATAGATGCATACAAAAATACAAACATACGATTATATTTATACGAATACATTTTTCGTCGTGTTGTAATAAACAAATGAATACAAAAGTATATTAATTGATAAAATAAAGAAAATTCGAGCTAGCTAGGTTCATCTGAAAGAAACAAGACCCAACGTGAAGTCTTCCTTTTTTTGTTTATCAAATTATCTCTATCTCCCGAATTCTATCAAAAGTGAAAATTAGAAAAGTCCAAAACTAGGACTAAAAACAAACCCATGAATGTGTAAAATAAGAAAGCTAATGAACTCTTGTTGATGATACATTGAACTGAAAAAAAGATAGACAAATGGAGGAGAGATAGGTTAAGATGCCATGCAAAAATGTCCAAAAACTTTTTTTAATATTAAGCAAAAAAAAAAAAGAAGAGGAAAGTGCCAAAAGAAAATATAGGGTTTGGTGTTCATATGAATGCGCGTGATCGTATTTGTTCGTCTTCGATTTTTAAAATTGTTGGATGAAACTATATTCTATATATCTTCCAATCACTTCCATAATTTTAGGAGAAAACACAAAACAATATATTAAAGATAACAAATGAACGATGATAATACGAATCCAGGGACTCGCGTTTTCCATGGTTTTTGGAATTTTGTGGGCTAAACCTTCAAACGAAGGAAACTGGGATTAAAATTTATATAAAATGTAGTTTCTGTCTTCACTAGCCCATAAAATTAGTTGACAAAATGGTTTAACTAACAATTTTTTTTTTTTGTCAGCGAAATTCGATTTTTCATATAAATATGTGCTTTCAATAATTATTTTTGACCGCGATCGTAATTCCTTTTTTCGTCTTTTTGTATTTGTTAATTTTTATAAATTACGAACACAAAACGATATTTATAAAAAAAAATTAATAACAAAAATGATATCTAAGAAACTTTTTGAATAATAGAATATATTTTTATTAGTTTGGATATGTCCGATAAGTAACTAAAGTCGATATAAATCAGTTTATTATATATTTAATAAAGATATCATTAATTATTAGTGTTTTAAGTGATTTTAATACCCTAAGTTATTCTAACTAAAAATTCATAAAATAATTTTTATTTGTAATTTTCCATTCATGTAAAAAATATTTTCTCTTCTTTTTAATTTAATTTTTATTTTATCTATAATTGACTCAATATCGTCAGGTAAACACATGTCATATACAAAACCTATAATAAACTCAAAGTATCAAATCCAACCATGGGGATTTTTACAAAAATCCTAGAGCTTACCTTTTTTGCAAGTTTCATTTTTTTTGTCAATTCTGGATTTGAGGACTTAAAGTTTTAAAGAAGAATAAAAGTTTTGTGCTTTAAAATGAAAGAGAACATTGACAAAAAAAAAAAAAAAAAAAAAAACGTTGACAAATAATAACGTAACATTGACTTGATAGACACGTTTTGGCCAAATGAAAGAGATAGTATAAGTTTATGTTTCCATTTGCTAAAAGTAATATGGTATTTATTGTACCAAAACTAAAGTTAGATTTTTTTTTTTTTTTGTATAATTGAAAGTCGGGGATTTAATAGCCAAAACCCAAAATCAACACACTTGAATAATTATTAACGAAAATTAAAAGTTTTTCAGTTTTTTTTGGGTGAGTTACGTTAAATCAAATTTCAAATTTGGAATTATACAAGGGAACTAGTATGTTTTTGGAGCCACTTTTCCAAATTCAAATTAATCATTCGCCACGTGTGCATAAAGCAAGAAGCCAGCTTCGGTTAGCAAGTGGCAAAAATGGTAAATAAATGTAAATTTACAGGGTAAAGTCTATATTTATTTCATAATTAGTATTTTTATTTGCTTAATATCGCAAATTCGCAACGGTGTAATCATTTTGAATTCGCTCTCTCACTCTAAAACCTCCTTCATCTTCATCGTTCGTCTCTGTTGTTTTTTCTTCTGGGGAAACCTTCTTCGTCGATCGTCTCTGTTTAAGGTAAGCTTAATTTTTCTACGAACCTTTTCGATTCCTGTTCGATCTCAATGGAGATCGTCGCGAGTTTCGAATCGTTGTTTCCATTTGAATGTTTGAATTCCGCGAATTTTCTTGAGATTTTTGGATTAATCAGAACGGATCATCGATTTTGAAATTGATTGCATTCTACTTCTGATGATGATTACTTAGTGCGCGCATCCATCTTCTTCCGATTTTTTTCAATTTGTTCATTTCTTATGATTATATGCTTTGTGTAATCGCCTTCTAATTAGGGTTTTACTTTGTATTTGTTTTTCGTTTTTTTCACTATGTGTTCATGTGAGTGAAAGTAACGAAATTAGGCTTTAACGAGATATCTTGGTTTGAAACAAGGAGGCGAAGATGCTTTTTCTTTATGCTTAGATACTTATTGTATTATGTTGTTGAATTGGGAATTCTAACTTTACTGTTGAAGCTTCTGAATGGTTGTAAAAGAAAAAGCTTGGATATTTCTTAGCAGCTTCTGTCATTGTATAGTTTTTTTTGGGGAATTAACAATCTTTAGGATCATAATCTTTGCTTTATCACTTATTTGTGAGTTTGTGAATGTATTTTGTTTCTGATATATGTTTCTGTTTGGTTACTGCAGTAATATTTGAGTTTCGAAAACTTTGGGTTACTCTATAAGAAGGTGCAGAAACAGGAATGCTCACCATCTCTAGGTAAGTTCTCACTCACATTTTTGTTGTAAGTCTCTGTGGTTAAAGTATTGTTGACTGTTACTGTTCTATTTCATTGTGGTTTTCTAAGCAGGAGCTCATACAAACAAAAGCAGAGTGTGGTTTTGTATAACCAAAGGGCTTTGACTCGGGCTCCATGTCTTCAATATATTTGTAAGTTACTTGATCAGCCATGGGGTAAGTAACTCAATCTCCTTCTCGTCTCATGTCTCTGCTCTCTTGCTTTATGAGTAGGTTCTTTATCGTGTTTATTTGTGTTTCATGGGCTAGGATTGCCTGACCTGTTTGGTTAAAACACCAAACTTGTAGTTTATAAAACCACAAAACACAGCACAACAAACAATCAAAAAGAAACCATTTAACTACACAAAAACACAAGCACAAACACACAAGAAAACATGAACACGTATACACAACACTCAAATCATAAACTTCACGTGCAGAAACAAAACTCAAATCCACAAAACAAAACACGTACACACAACACTCCAAACTTAAACCTCACGTGCAGAGAACAAAATTCAAATAGGCAAAACAAAAACACGAAACCACAATGCTTAAAACAAAAACTTCACGATCATAGAATGTAATTATTAGAATTGTGGTGTCAAGGTTTATAAGTTCAATGCAGATGACCGGCTATTGGTAAGCCTACAGAAAAATGAATATACGAGTGTCAGGTATTATCTTGATCACCACAGTTCGTATATCTACATTATGTTTTCTCATGTTACAGTGTCTTTGTCAACCATAGCCGTTATAGTCTTATTGATTGAACATTAATCTATTGGCTTGAATGGTCTATTAAACATTGAGAGGAAGCAAACTTATGATCAATCTGCTTTAAATTTCACTTTTTGAGTCTAAAGTGAAATCAATTTGACATATGTGCAGGGTTTTTTTATTGGTGGCGAGGAGAGACTTAGCCGCTTTAATGGATATCTCTCTGAACTGGCTACAGCAGCATTCGTCTGCAAGGTAAGTCCTTGAGCTTACCATGTTTCTCTGTTTTATTTACTCCTTGTTGCATTATACGTTTATAGTTGTAGTTGTCATTGCAACACTGTTCAAAATTTCATAATTAAAGTTTTCTTTTTTTTGTCGAATAAATTCCTTATGTTCTGGCATCAACGATCTCTTTCATGTTCTTGCTATTGATTATTACAATGATTTGGCAAAGATCTTGGAAAAAATGGCTTTGCAAGATATGGTTGGAGTTTTCTACATTTTTCTCGGATATCTTTTGAAGGTATGTATACTAGCTGCAGACATGTTTGTTCAATTGAAAACCACTTATTTTAAAATGTATAATATAGAACCAACTATGTTATGTGAAGATTAGTCAAAGATTGGTCATGATTTTCGTAACTAGATGTAAAAAATATTTCTTTTGATTCAATTTATTTGCAGGAACAATGATCATGTTGCAATTCTATGGAGAACGAGATCAATCCCAACCTTTCTATTCAAGAGTTTAATCTGCACCAAATCAAGGTTCTCTATCTTCTATATGATATTTAAAATTCTGTGATTAGAATTATTTTCTTTGCTCTACCATATATAAACTCTTTCACATTCTAGTTAGAGGACAAGCGGTACAGCTAGAGGCTATAACTATATGATTGTGAGAGGTGTCTTGGAAAATGGCTCCGTTTTGCTGGTCTTTGTGTACTGATTTCTACATTTTGTCTTGGACATCTTCTAAAAGGTATCTACATCTCTTCTGAAAGTATCTGCTTGAAGTGGACTATTCATTTCATAAGCCATAATGACATGATTGTGTTTGGGCAACGTTTAGGTGCTACTGATCCGTAAGCTGACAACTTTATTTGATGGTATTCATGCCAAACTTTGCGAATCATTTAATTTTTTGGATTTAGCATCAAGGTGAATTTATTATTGTCTTCATTCTCAGGCTTAACTGCTTTAATAGATTTGGAAATCAGTTACGATCTTCATCCTATATATTTGTAGGCACTGGTTTGGCTTTTGGACATTGCATTGTTTTGCTTGGGTTCGGATTCGATGATAAGGTGGCTTAGATCACTTTAACATGTTTTCACATATACAATATGTACTTCATGTTATAGGTTCTTACTCTTAAATGCATTAATATGAGTTATTTTTAACAACTGAGTATTCTATCATGTTATAGGTTCAAGAGTGAGCTGCGGTTTTCAAATTTAACTATAAAGGCTTCGAGAAAGTGGCCAAAACATCGTTTGGACTAGATGATGTAAGATTTTTAGTAACTTTAATACTCTGCATAGTTTGTGGTTTTGTATGTTCTTATTCAAGTTCACTCTCTACAGAACTCTTGCTAGATGAATTCAAGAGAAGGGAGCTTTGAGGAGCAAAAAAAAAAACTGAGGACTCGCTTCCATAACAAAGATTGAACGAAGATGGGCTCAATTAGGGAAGTGGCTTAACTCTCTCTTTCTCTCTCTATTCTATACATCATGCATAAGTCCACTTTTAGGATAACACAAGTAGACTGCGACACAACAAAGCATTATTCTTGACAACATTAGAGCTGTGGGTTAAAGCACCATCACTTGTTTGTGAGTTTGTGAATGCTATTTTGTTTCTGATATTTGTATTTTTTTTTTTGGTAACTGCAGTAAAATTTGAGTTTCAAAAACTGTTGGTTACTTTATAAGAGGGTGCAGAAACAGGAATGCTCACCATGTCTAGGTAAGTAGTCATCTATCTAAGATTGAGCGTAACATGTTTTAAAATTATATGGTTAAAGTTTTCTTGACTGTTATTGTTCTATTTCTTTGTGTTTTTCTAAGCAGGAGCTCATGCAAACAAAAGCAGAATGAGATTTTTTAGAACCAAAGGGATTTAACTCGGTTTCATGTAATCACTATATATGTAAGTTCCCTGATCATCCATGGGTAAGTAAGTCAATCTCCCTCTTGTCCCTTTTCCCTACTCTCTAGCTTTGTGAATAAGTTCTTTATAATCGTGTTTTATGGGATGGGATTGCCTGACCTGTTTGGTTAAAACACCAAACTTGCAGTTTATAAAAACACAAAACACAGCACAACAAACAATCCAAACGAAAACATATAACTACATTACACAAAAACACAAACTCAAAACACAAGAAAACATGAACACGTATACACAACAACACTCAAATCATAAACATCACGTGCATAAACAAAACTCAAATAGACAAAACAAAAACACAAAAACACGTAAGCTCAACACTCCAAACATAAACCTCACGTGCAGAGACAAAATATTCAAATAGGAAAAACAAAAACACCAAAAACACAACACTAGACAAAAATACACGATCATAGACCACAATTCGTAGAACTGCAGTGTCAAGGTTTATAAGCTATGTGTTTGGAATCAAAAGTTCAATGCAGATGACCTTGGGGAAGCCTACAACAAAGGAATATACGAGTGTCAGGTATTATCTTGATCACCACGATTCATATATCATATTCGACATTCTTTTCCTAGTTGTTATAGTCTTTGTCAAGCATAGCTGTTATAGTCTTCTAGTGAAATACGTCTTATTGATTGCACATTGATCCATTGGCTTTAATGGTCTATCAATCTGCTTTGAATTTCACTTTTTTGAGTCTAAAGTGAAATCAATTTGACTCATGTCCAGGACATTAGGATTTTCTATTGGTGGCGAGGAGAGAATTAGCCGCTTCAATGGATATCTCTCTAAACTGGCTACAGCAGCGTTCGTCTGCTTGAGCTTACCATGTTTTTATAAGCGGCATGATATTGTTGGAAATTTTTAATAGAGATGGAATTGGGACTATGGTAGCAAGGTATATACTACTGTTTTCAATTGCAAAAGTTTTATCTTTCATACAAAAGCTATTGACCCGTCATGTCACATTGACATATATGAAGGAACCCAGAGGTCAAAGGGGAAGATCTTTCTGGAATTAGACAAATAAGAAAACGTCTGGATGAATTTGGAACTCACTCAAAACTAATGAGAAGGTTAGCATGAGGTTTCACTTTTTATTGTTTTGGTGTTTAGCTACTGCGACTTTAGGGTTCATTGTAACACTGTTAAAAACTTAATGTTTAGAGTTTACTTCTAATGTTTTTTATTTTCAAATTTTACCTTGGCAGGAGCTCATAGAATCAAACTATGACATAAATTTATTGAAAAAGGTGTGAATAATGGAGCAGCTTGAGTGTAGAAACTGTAGGTACTAAATAGTCGTCACTTTAATACATTTACAGCAGCACTGATATTATTGTAATTATGCAGGGAAAAATTTCCAGTTGTCTGACTTACTTCATGGATAAGCACCAAAACAAGGCTTTCTATTTTTTAATTTTCAACATTTTTTGTTGAATAAGTCCTCATGTTCTGGCAGCTACGAACTCTATCATGTTATTGCTATTAATTATCTCTATGATTTGACAGAGGTCTAGGAAAAAATGGCTTTGCATGCTATGATTAGAGTTCTTATTTCTAAGTTTTATCGTGGATATCGTTTAAAGGTATGTACTAGTTACAAACATGTTTGTTCGATTGAAATCCAATTATTTAAATATGTATAATATAGAACCAATTATGTTACTGGGAAGATTGGAAAGAACGGTCATGGTTTTTGTATCTGGAAAAGCAAATTAATATGGCCTTTGGTTCAATTTATTTGCAGGAACAATGATCATGTTGCTATTCTGCAGAGAACGACATCGATTCCAACCCTTCTTTTCGAGAGTTCAATCTTTAGGGATGTGCACGGAATTGAGGTTCTCTATTCTCTATCGTCTATATGATATTTTTAATTCTGTGATTTGAACAATTTTAATTGCTCTAGCATATATGAAATCTTACACATTCTAGGTAGAGGACAAGCGTTACATGTAGATGTATATTTACATGAGTGTTAGAGATGTCTTGGGGACAATGGCTCTGCTTTGCTGGTCTTGGAGTGTGCTGATTTCTACATTTTTTCTTAGATATCTTCTGAAGGTATCTATATCTCTTCTGAGTATCTGCTTGAAGTAAACTATTCATATCATAAGCCATAATGACATGATTGTGTTTGGGCAACGTTTAGGTGCTACTGATCTGGAAGCTAGCCACTGTATTTGATGGGAAATTCTCTATGAATGGGTAATCATGTCAAACTTTGCTAATCATTTAAATTTTTGGATTTACCATCAATGGAATTTATTGTCTTTATTCTCAAGCTTATCTGCTGTAATAGATTTGGACAATAATTATAGTTTTCAATTCTTTATTCTTTTTTATTTGTAGGCGCTGGTTTGGCTTTTGGCCATTCCATTGTTTTGCTTGGGTTCGGATTCGATAATAAGGTGGCTTAGATCACTTTAACATGTTTTCATTCACCTATTTGGTACGTACCTCATCACACCTTACTCTTAAATGCAACTGAGAATTTTCTGTCATGTTATAGACTCAAGAGTGTGCTGCGGTTTTTTTATTTTTACTGTAAAGACTTCAAAAAAGTGGCCAAAACATCGCTCGGACTAGATGATGTAAGATTTTCAGTAACTTTAATACTCTGCATAGTTTGTGGTTTTGTATGTTCTTATTCAAATGCACTCTCTACAGAACTCTTGCTAGATAAATTCAAGAGAAGGGAACTTTGAGGAGCAAACAATAAAAACTGATGACTCGCTCCATAACAAAGATTGTCCGAAGATGGACTCGAAATGAGGAAGTGACGTAACTTTCTCTTTCTCTCTCTATTCTATACATTATGCATACTTATTTGCCTTATTCACTCTTGTCAATTCTCTTGTAGGGTGAAATCAAGAGAGAACAAAGAAGGTGCTCTAGTGAAGTGCTCTCTCTCTCTCTCTCTCTCTCCCTCTCTCTCTTTCCTCAAATCTCTTAATTCTATAGTCCGCACTCCGCACACTAAAACACCACAAAGTAAACAAACAACAAACTCAACACTCGTAACAAAAACTTCACATGCACGAAACTAAAATACACAATACAAACACAACAAAACAAATACACCACAAACAACAAACTCAACACACGTAACAAAATACTTCACATGCACGAAACTAAATACACAATACAAATTACACAACAAGACAAATACACGTCAAGTGACGCACGCAAATCAACAAAATTTTTACATACAATAGGCACGTCAAAACTAAACACAACACAAATTTGGACGTCACAAAACTCACAAATAAGAAAATAAATAAAACAACATGAAAAAAAATCATTACCCAATCACAACAAATTCCTTAATTGTGGGTTAAATGTAGCCCTTACTTCCTTATGTTCGAAAGAGTTTTGTCGAGTAATTTCATATATTTCAACTTTCAAGCATCATTTATCTTTGTTTTGTTTAATATGGGCAATTCTCGTTAATATCACAAAAATAAGTTTTGTTTCCAAATTTAGCACATACTCCACAAAGTTCCAAAGATAGCGCTATATTTCATGATTAAACTTTCAAAATTAAATTCTAAACTTTACACACTAAACCCTACCTCTTAAAAAATTTATACCCTAAATGTAAAATAGTCGACTTTGACATTAAACAAAAATTCTAAAAATTAGTGTTTTATGGTAATTTATGGAGTGTGTGTTATAATTATCTAAAATACTTAGTTTACTGCTATTTGAGGGTATTTCTTTTTTTTGCAAAAGAAAATATTTAGAAAAAGAATTATTGAACCGAAAAAAGTTAAATAATTTAGTTAAACAAAAACTACAGCAACAAGAAAAAGGAATAAAGCTTTTTTAGCAACAGTAGCAGGATGAGCCATTGAAACATAAATGGCATACTCAAATTAATTACGACTTAAGAATTCTTAAGTTCTATAAAAATAAAATGGATTTATCTCAATTGGTGTCGAAATGAATTATCACCTGCGCTAAAGAATTATGAATATGATAAAATAACATCTTTGACACTTTTTTCCTTTTTTTTCTTTCTTTCTTTGACACTCTGTTATTCATCTTTTTATTAGTTAAGGAACACACAAATATAACATTTTTCAAAATAATTACGTTACATAAGATATCCGATTTTAGTTAATAGAGTATCTAAATTAAAAAAAACTAAACCAAACCATGGAGAGCCAAAACTGGAATAAAATTAACGTACTAATCGAATAGATGATAATTTAAGAACCAAACAAACTTAAACTGAATCATACCGTACCAGGAACCGAACGAATTTCCGAAAAAATGTATCATTAGTCCAAGCAGGGAGAAAAATATCTTCTAACTTCGAAGTTCTAACATAAAATTAGTCTAAGTCATTGTCACTGTCACATTGCGATCGTATCACCAGTTCACCACCATGGCCGCACAATTATCTCGATGATGGTACCCCTGATATGAGCAATCTTTTGTTACAACAATCAAATAAAAAAAATTAGTCAATTTATCAACATATGCATTATTTCCTGGTAGTAGTTAATACTGAACATATTTCCAATTTATGTTCCTATTGTTTTTAAAAAAAAATTCTTACTAGTTTAAGTTTTTTTTTTTTTTTTTTTTGGGCAAACTAAGATTTATATTTATCAATCATTCAATCTCCATTAATGGAGTACATGTTCCAAGGAAAGGACAACAAAGCCAAACCGGCTAAAAAGACCGTTGCTACGAGAACAAGACGGACAACATACAAGGAAAAGATAGGAGCAAACACCACACTTAATCCACTAAAGCCAAAGAAGGATCTCTCAATGCCAATAGTGCTAAAAAATGAAATGAAGCCGTGGGAGTTATAGAACACAAACTGTGATCTTATACCCGGGATTTAGATCGCAACAAGTGCAGATTTTACAATCATAAATCAGCTAGATGCAAAGGTGATAAGACACCGCATAGATGAGCCTGAAGATAGAATGAGCATCGAAGTTATGATCTTCGACGCCAACGTCCTTGCACCAATACCACTTGACCCAAGTAGAAATTTTGGGAGGATTACGTACTCCACAAAGGAGAAATCAACCAAATTCATAGAATTAAAAAAGGTGGTAGGTCGGAGCTCTTCTCCTCCTCGCCCGAAGAATCAGTTTGCTTTCAATGGACTAGTTTAAGTTACTTAAAAATATATATTTCTTAGGAAATTGATAGAATTAAAAGATGATGACCACATATTTTTCTATAGAGACTTTGACTTTATATGCCATAATAATGCCAACTTTGACTTATGGTACGACTCAAAGTAAACGATTGACGACAATGTAACGATCACTCACGACGACGACTAGGACCTCAACTTTGTAAGTATGCAATTATTTTTTGAACTTGGTGCGTTGTACTAAAACTTTGAAATTATTGTAAATGTGAATACACAATCACTTTGGGATAATCTTTCGTTTCCTTTTTTTCGTTTCGTTTGCAATGGAAGGGAAGGTGTTCTTGTGGCAATACTTTATATGGGTGATTTTACTGTTGGGGCAGATACATGGATACAAAAGCTGTACTGAGAAAGAAAGGATTGCTTTGCTCGAGATCAAGAAATATCTGGCTTCACATGGTATATATGACAGCCCCGACCTCTACTACCCTTTTCTCCCTGCTTGGACTAATGATACAAAGAACGATTGTTGTCAGTGGGAGGAGATCAACTGCGATCATAGAAGCGGACGGGTGACCGAGATCGCCTTTGGTACATTGAAGCTCAAGCAGAGTTTTCTCTTAAATCTTTCTTTACTGTATCCCTTTGAAGAAATACGAAGCTTGAACTTATCCGGGTCCAGATTCAGAGATTTATACCCGGACGAAGAAAGAGGATTACGTCAAGAAGGACTTAACCAGTTCAATGGCTTCTCTGATGATATTGAAGGTAAACCATGTTTTCTTTAGTGGTTAGGCTTTAACAATATTCTCATAGGGACTGTGATCTTTCCTTGCATTAGGGGTTGATATATATATTTTTTTTGTACATTAATTTTATGGTAAATGTGTCACATACTAAAGTGATTGGAGTGAGATATGTTATCATTATATATGCTTAGCAAGATTGTCTCGTACGCGTACGTTTACTAAAAAGAGAGACATTTACGTTTGCAGGTTATAAAAGTTTAAGGAGATTAAGGAACCTCGAGATTTTGGATCTCTCTTCAAATAAATTTAACAACAGCATCTTTCCTTTTCTTAGTGCTGCAACATCACTTATAACTCTGTCTCTTCGAAGCAACGACATGGGTGGCCCTTGTCCTGTCAACGGTGTGTTTCTTGATGATAAAGCTCTTTATAGATTCAGTCTTATTGTTTAGCTTAATATGACTTATTCCAGTGTGTAGCATTCTTAAATGTTTTGAAATCCATTTCAGAACTCAAGAATTTGACAAACTTGGAACTCTTGGATCTAAGTGATAACAGATTTAACGGCTCCATACCAGTACGAGGTAGTCCATAAATGCTAGTCTTTATTTTCTAGCTTAAAATTTGTATTCAATTCAAAAGCAATGTACACAACATTGTTAGACGATTTGTGTCATTTTTTAGATGAACATGATCTTATTAAAAGGTGTTTACTTTTGTATGGCAGAATTATCTTCCATGAGAAAGCTAAAAGCTTTGGATTTAAGTGATAATGAATTTTCTAGCTCAATGGAACTACAAGGTAAGCTTAATTAAATATTTACTTTTTGATTTTTGTTTTAATAAGAAGTTGTGATTTAATTCATGTTTATGAAAGTAACTTATCTTATGCATTTGATTAATGTAGGAATTTGCAAACTGAAGAATATGCAAGAGCTCGATCTAAGTCGAAACAAACTTGAAGGTCAGTTCCCCTTATGTTTAACTAGCCTTATTGGACTTCGAGTTCTTGATCTCTCATCGAACCAATTTAACGGGAAGCTACCATCTTCTCTCGGTAACCTCGAATCCCTTGAGTACTTATCATTGTTTGATAACAACTTCGAAGGCGTCTTCTCACTTAGTTCCCTAAGAAACCTCTCAAATCTTAGAGTGTTGAAATTTGGCTCAAAGTCCAACTCATTTCAAGTAGGGTTGGAAATTTCTTGGATGCCAAAATTTCAATTGAGTGTCATTGTACTACGATCCTGCAAGTTGGAGAAAGTTCCTCATTTTCTCCTACACCAAAAGGTTTTACGCCTAGTTGATCTCTCTGACAACAAAATATCAGGAGATTTTCCTTCTTGGCTATTGGAGAACAATACGAAACTCGATGTTTTGTTACTTCAGAATAATTCTCTTACGAGCTTTCAACTACCAAACTCTGCTCATAACCTTGGTTTCCTAGATGTGTCAGTTAATAAGTTCCATCATTTGTTTCCTGAGAATATCGGGTTGATACTTCCTGAGCTAGTGTTTTTCTATCTAGCTCATAACGGTTTTCAAGGAAATCTGGCATCATCTTTGGGTAACATGGAAAATATTTCCTATCTAGATGTGTCTCACAACAGTTTCCACGGGAAGCTACCACATAATTTTTTAGAGCATTGTGATTCCCTACAAGGCTTAAAGCTTTCACATAACAAACTAAGTGGAGAAGTTTTTTCAGAACCTACAACATTTCAAGGCCTAGAGACGTTGTCTATGGATAACAATCAGTTTACAGGAAAGATTGGGCAAGGTTTACAGAGCTTGACATCTTTGGAATATCTTGACATCTCGAAAAACAATCTCTCCGGTGTTATTCCAAGTTGGATTGGCGAATTTTCATTCTTATATGCACTACTGCTTTCAGACAACTCTTTGGAAGGTGAAATACCATTTTCACTATTCAACAGATCCTATTTTGGGCTATTAGACCTCTCATCAAACAGTTTATCTGGGCACATACCTCCTTTACACGTCAATCCTGGATTTGGAGTTGTTTTACTCCTTCAAGACAATAACTTATCAGGAGTTATTCCAAACTCGGTGCTAGAGTATGCCAATATACTTGATCTAAGCAATAATAGATTATCTGGGAATATTTCGGAGTACACCAACGCCCCAAACATCAGTATTCTGATTCTGCGGGGGAATGAGTTATCAGGTCGCATCCCTCGCCAGTTGTGTGGCCTAAGAAACATTCACCTTCTTGATCTTGCTAACAACAGACTAAATGGTACCATACCTTCATGTCTTAGCAATACATCATTTGGTTTGGGCAAAGAGAGTTCATTCTATTTTTATGATTTTAGTTTAGGTGACATGGTTGCGAGTTTCGAGCTTTCTTCTAATCTAGAACATGATTCCACTTCCTCGGAAAATGTTGGTAATTTTCTTCTTGTGCTAGACCCGTTTATTGCGAACACGAGGGAAACCACGAAGACGAGAATTGAATTTCTAACAAAACACCGATATGATGGTTACACGAGTGGAATTCTTGTATATTATTTTGGACTCGATCTTTCGGAAAATGAGTTGAGCGGTGAGATCCCACCAGAGCTTGGAGACTTTCTTCAACTACAATCTCTCAATCTTTCTCACAACAACTTATCAGGAGTGATACCAAAAAGCTTTTCAGGACTCAAGAATGTGGAAAGCCTTGATCTTTCCTACAACATATTACAAGGCCATATCCCAACGCAACTAACCGATTTAAACAGCTTAGCTGTTTTCAATCTTTCATACAACAACTTTTCAGGAATCATTCCACAAGGAAAACAGTTTAACACCTTTGATGCACAAAGCTACTTAGGTAATCCTCTTCTTTGTGGGAAACAAACCAACACAAGCTGCAACGGTTCTCAAGAACCGGATGAGGAAGTTGAAGACGATGAATCCACAATCTACATGATATATTTCTACTTTAGCTTTGCGGCAGCTTATGTGACAATACTTATTGGACTATTCACATCCCTCTCTTTTGATTCCCCTTGGAGTAGATCTTGGTTCTACAACGTTGATGTTTTCATCTACAAGGTGAGTAATCTATTGGGATGAATCTTTGTTGGTGACAGATTCTATGTATTATCCCCATATGTTTCTATAATTTATTGCTTTGTGTAATAGAACCAAAACATATCATCTGTTTGGTTCTTATGTATTGTCTTTTATCTTTGTATCCGAACAAATGTAATGTCTCAAACATATCGTTGTAAAATCTTCAATTTTTCATTCTTATACCATCTTTGTGTATGCCTCTCTTACAAGCTACTTAAAAAAACTATATGACCTATAGTGTCATATCTTGTACTAGTTACGTCTACTTTGTAATGCACAACAATTATTTATCAAAAACAAAATCTTCAGTTTTTCAGGAACTTACATAAAATAGTTTCAAGTTGTAATAGAGTGTACACACAAGAGTAGAAATAACTATTGAGAATGTTTTATTGTTGTTACTTTTTTATATATAGTGAAATGAATCAAAATGTTTTATTTTGTTGTAAAATGCATGTCTGCATATACTGTTCTTCACCCTCCTAAGTCCTAACAAGAGATTTTAAAAAGCAGAACCAAACAATCAGGTTTACTTTTCTTCTAGTTTCAATATAGAAATCTCATGATTGGTGCTGGCCTTAGGTAGTCTTCTCTTAAATGGTCTTCTGTGTCACTGGTCGTCGTTGATATGATCAAAGATGTTTAATCAAAACTGTTCCCTACAAAATTATAATACAAAGAAATTTCATAAGCTTACTTGCATAATTTATGGCTTGTCTCGTATAGTTTCAGTAACATTTTTGCATTTTCTATTGTATCGTCTCCTCGTCGACGGGTTTCTTGAAAAAGGGACATTAACCAATAATTCATCTTCTAAAGGACTCAATACGGTCTTTTTTTTTTTTTCCCAAAGATCCTACATTGTAAATTGAAAAAAAATATGAATTTGGCACCTAATAAGAAACATAGGTGATGATTTCAAGTAATCGGGCTTTCGACTATACATACATCTCCTTGAAGGTCATTGGACCAAAACCATATTCCATGGATTTCGATTGTGAGCCCAATAATTTAGTTGGTGAGATTTTATTAATCACTGGTTTGGCCAAAAAAATGATGGAAAAATATATAAATTTTTTTTTTAATAACTAAGAGGTTCTGGGCCGAAATCTATAAATTGTTTTAGATCCGGGACCAAAGCATATTATATGCTCTCGTCTCAAACGCTACTCGAACCGGCGATTTTTAAACATTTGTTAGACCATTTAAATTTAAGCATTCATATTTACATTTCCCATTTTATTCAATAACTAGACTATTCTAAATTTCTAATACTTTAACCAAAACTAAGATATATATTATAAAACAAAAGGTATGATTACTAAAAATTGACTTTCACAATAAAAATCCCTCTTTGCTGGCATACTTTCAAATAATTAATTTAGAAGATATCTTTCTATATATTTATGAATGCAAATCCAAGGTAAAAACCAAAAAAAAAGTAGTAAGTAATAAGTAAAAATATGAATCCCCCCAAAAGGGAAGTGACCAAAACCACCGGAAAGCAAAACGAGTACAAGCACCCACAACACCACCATCACACAATTTTCACACACACACACTCATAGATAACGATAAGATTTATCTTCCACGTGGCACTGTTCTAGCGTTACAAACCGATAAGGGTCTCTCAGGACCTTACCTTAGGCTTCTGTGGCCGTTACCAAGTGACTTAAAACCTCACACACACACACATATCCACACACTCATCATCCAACGGTCTAAATCCTTTCCCACTCAAGCCTCATGATTCCTCGACCCTACGATCACTCAAGTGATTGTTATCATTGTTATTATCATTATATATAGATGACCAAAGCACTAGACAGAACCTCAGTCACACAAAAGAGTAAAAGAGAAAGAACACAATGGCTTCCTCTATGCTCTCTTCCGCTACTATGGTTGCCTCCCCGGCTCAGGCCACTATGGTCGCTCCTTTCACCGGACTTAAGTCCTCCGCTGCTTTCCCTTCCACCCGCAAGGCCAACAACGACATTACTTCCATCACAAGCAACGGCGGAAGAGTTAGCTGCATGAAGGTCATACATCTTTTTTCTTCTTCTTCTTTCTTCTTCTTTCAAAGAACTTTTTTTCATTCGAATTACATGAACTCATATGTTGTTTTGTCTGAATCTCAAAGGTGTGGCCTCCGATCGGAAAGAAGAAGTTCGAGACTCTCTCTTACCTTCCTGACCTTTCCGAGGTCGAGTTGGGAAAGGAAGTTGACTACCTTCTCCGCAACAAGTGGATTCCCTGTGTCGAATTCGAGTTGGAGGTAACAAAAAACATAAACTAGCTTAGATCTTGGACTTTTGTTGTTGTTGTTGTTGTTGTGGTCGTAACATGTGTGGTTTGGTTTTTTTGTATTATAGAACGGGTTTGTGCACCGTGAGCACGGTAACACCCCCGGATACTACGATGGAAGGTACTGGACAATGTGGAAGCTACCCTTGTTCGGATGCACTGACTCAGCACAAGTGTTGAAGGAAGTTAACGAGTGCAAGAAGGAGTACCCTGAAGCCTTCATCAGGATCATCGGATTCGACAACACCCGTCAAGTGCAGTGCATCAGTTTCATTGCCTACAAGCCCCCTCGCTTCACCGATGCTTAATCTCTCTCTTTGCTTTGCTTTGTTTCTTGTAAAACATATCAAAAACTTTATCTCATCCCCTCCTCCACCTTTGATTTTATATCAATTTCTGCTTTTTCCTTTTTTTCTTTTTAATTTTTATCTAAAGTTTTAATTTCCGGATTTAACGTTTGTTTTCCGGTTTGCGAGACATTTTCTATCGGATTCTCAACTATCTGATGAAATAAATATGTAATGTTCTATAATATCTCTTGAATTTGAATTGCATATGAACATTAAAGAAAATAATAGGACAATGTGACTCAAAAAAAACATGAAAATTTACAAGTTGAAGAAACACATAAGATAGATTAGATCACACGATTAAGGAGGTTTGAGAGGTTTAGGCTAAACAATATCTTGAAGTAAAAGATGATGATGACCCACTTGAAATCTAGTGATGGAAACATAAGTGGATGTGCTTTCTTTAGGATAGGATTCTTGATAAGAGGTCTCGAATATTCATTTTTCACTTAAAAGAGTATATTCAAGGATCTTGTGGATCATATTATATATTTCCTCAATCAAATGACTTGGCCCAAGTTCACATATTTGAACTCTATAGTGTGAAATGTATAATTTGTAGTAATGTTGTTTAGGTACTTGTCGGAATAGGATAAGATATATGAGGCTTGTAAGAATTTGCGGTTTTTGAAGTTTATAGATATAGTAAAAGTTTTCAAATCAGAAAATATAATCAAAAACATTTTTATAAATTAAGGAAAAAATCTTTTACCATTTAATCTTAGTTTTGGTCGCCATCGAATACATCGAAATGCGAAAATCCCACAACAAGATTGAAAGATGCCACAAATTTGTTTTTATTTGTTGACTGAACAGTGTAAGTGGGAGTTACAAAAGAAAAGAAAAGAAAAACAAAATGGGTGGATCAAAAGGCCCATTAATTAAATTTTAAGTTATATACCAAATAGCCCACCCAAGTTATCTTACTTCATCCACTTTCTCAAGCAGTGAGTTATATATTTAGATTATTAGCCATTAACCACATCTCTATCTTATTTCTTGTTTAACAAAATTAATGGGAGCAACACCAACCTTTGTCTTTTTCTGAAACTAGACTTGTCTCTTGTCCACCTAAATTCACTTTCACTTCCATCTCCCTTTCACATAATGGCTCATATTGGCAACATCATATAAACGACGCGGTTGGCAACCGGCTCATTTGAGTTTTTACCATCTTTTTAACCATATCTTCTACTATTCGTTTCATACGTCTATTTCGATGGTTCATCTAATTAGTAACTAAGTTAACGAATGATTGAATCTCCAACCACTTTTAATTGTGTTACCAATCAAAGCCAATGCATATAAATTTTTTTTGATCAACATGTTGAATTCTCAATATATAACGATGATTCACTAAAAAATATTATCTGTTAAATATACTTATATACTAAAGTACTAAATGATATCTTTCATTGAAGTAAACCAATATTAAAAAAAAATGTAGTTTAAAACTTTAAAATGAAATCGAAAGGAATTGTTAACTTTTATACTAAAAAAAATAAGTGTAAATTATACGATGTCAAAAAAAAATGTCTAAATTATATTAAAAAGGAAAAGTGATAGTAAAAGATGAAAAATTTATAAAGAGGAGGACTGTATGAGCAAATAAAAAACGTGTTGCATATAATTGTGGACACACTGAGGAAGAAAGAGTGAAAGACAACTTTTTTCTTTCACCCTTCCACTTCCGTATTCAGTGGAAACAACACCTCTCAAACCATCATTACTCAGTGTTCCATCTATATATGGAGAGAGTTTGGTTAAGTTAGGTAATGAAGGATCAGGTTTTGGCAAAGGGTATTGAAGTTTTGAATCAAAGATGGTTTTTACTTCTCTCATTTCTCAGCCTTTCTCTTCTTCATCTCTCTCGGTACTCTTCTTTTATCTCCAAATCTCACTTATACTTTAGTGTTTGTGGATCTTTTGTCGGTTTAGATTCTGTGTTGAGGTTCTTACTATAGTTATAGATAACCTTAAAGTCTTTACCTTTTGACTCAATTTGGAGAATTTAATGGGTTTTGAATTGACCCTGATGTTTTTTTTTATATATCATTGAATTGACTTCTCCGTGGGTCACCTGTTTCAGAGAAACTCTGTTTCTATATGAAAGTTTCTGAATTTTTAAGAGATGAAGTAAAAAAAGTTCATTCTTTTTTGGTTGATTTCAGATGATGAAACGCAACATTACTGTTAAAAGATCGGATCTTTTTCTTGATTCTTCAAGAATTAGATTAGATAATCCTTGGAGCTTCGTTGGAGGATCAAGAATCTCTCTTCACCCCAATGTTTCATCGAATTCTTGCTCTGTAGTTTACAAGAAAGTCTTTGGCGTACAAGCTTCATGTAATGTGTCTCTCTCTGCACTTTCATTGAACTTAAAGCTTGAAACTTTGTCACTCATTTTTGTGGTTTTGATCTCTGATATGTTTATGTTGCAGTGTTGGCTACATCTCAGATTGCAAGTAGTGTGTTTGCAGTTGGAACAACCGCAGTTCTTCCCTTTTACACTCTTATGGTTGTAGCTCCAAAAGCTGAGATTGTAAGATTATATTTTCTTTCAAGTTTTGCAATTTATCGTGCAGACTCAAAGAATTTGGATCTAAATTGAGTATATATGTTTCTTTGTGCAGACCAAGAAGTGTATGGAGAGTAGCTTACCGTATATCGTCTTAGGCGTGTTATACGCGTATTTGTTATACCTTTCTTGGACACCCGAGACACTCAAGTACATGTTTTCTAGTAAATACATGTTGCCAGAGGTACTTTGCTTCCCTGAAACATTCGAAAACAAGCGTATAGTTTTTCTATGATAATGTATCATTGCAATTTCTAAAGTTTAATTTCATCTGCAGTTGTCGGGGATAGCAAAAATGTTCTCAAGTGAAATGACTCTTGCCTCTGCGTGGATTCATCTTCTTGTTGTCGATCTTTTCGCTGCCAGGTATATATATCCGGGCTTCTTCTTCTTCTCACCGGGTTCTGAATTTATCCGAACATGTTTCTTATAACGCGTGTTTTGGGTTTTCTCTTGTAGGCAAGTTTATAATGATGGTTTACTGAACCAGATCGAAACGAGGCATTCTGTTTCGCTTTGCCTTCTCTTCTGCCCGGTTGGAATCGTTTCGCATTGTGTAACCAAAGCTTTAACCAACAACCAGTGCAAGTAAACCTGCGATCTTGGTCTCTCATCGACTTTCTTTAACTTGCTTATAAAGATTTGGAATGATGGTTTTCATTGTACGCTTGTCTCGGATCAAAATTAAACATAAACTAGTTTGTAATGAAGTAAGTTGTTGACAGAATCAATGAGACCAAACAAGATTTGGAATGATGGTTTTATATAATCTTGCAGTAAGTTTACATCTTGAGAGTTTTTGCAGAATTTTGCAACTCGGAAACCTCCTCCTCTTCACATATACTACTAAACTAAAGATTTAAGTTCACCAAGTTTTTCAAATGTTAACATTAAGTACAAGATTTGATGTGAAAACACTAGTACGGTATTACCAGTCGAGTTCTTAAAAGTTGAGTTGAGTGGGTGAGTCATGTCCTCATCAGCAGATCAAGTGCTTTGAGACACGGGTTTACCTAATTTTGTTTGACTTAAGAGTGTGGACCATCATTGTCGCATATAATAAGTCCAACGTACGTGCACAAAGTGCCACCTTTGGTTCCCCCCAGATTTGGGATTGTTGGGTATGCATTTGATTTGGTTACTGAGGGATTCGTGGGAGGTTTGGTTCTAAAGGGCAGAGCCAAAGAGTACTAGATGAAAGTGTTTGAGGCTCTAAAGTCTGATGTGAGGATGTTTCATAGAGGATCAGGATCGTAACGTTTCCACGTTTTGCCATAACAGGGTTTGATTGATTGCAACATAAGTTATAATATGGGATGAGTCTTCATGGAGTGTATTTAATAGTCGTTAGAAAGCCATCATCACCACTGCATTTACTGTGAAGAAGATATATATACTCCATTTTACTCCATTAAAGAAGCTTCATCGTTTAACTTCAAGGCTCTTAGAGCATAAGATACCAAACATTGTGCTAATATACCTTTTTCAAGTCTAAGAGGTTTGCAATAACGATGCTCCTATATTATATATCGTACCAAACTACAATATGATAAAATCGATATCTTGATTCTATTTTTAGTAAAACTATACAAATTCACTTTTGAATAAGATTTCAAGACTACAAATGTTTGCTAAACTTTAATTTCTTGGAAAGATATTTACATTTTTTGTAAAGGAAAAAAAATTGCAAATTTCTTATCTATCTCAAAATGAAATATGTAAAGATAAATTCTTAGTTGACTATTGTGAGATTGTACATTATTACTTCAAAAGTACGATATAATTTAAACATATTTAAGAAATTTAGAACAACCCATAATTGTCAACTGATTTTTAAATGGAAATTCATAAAAGTTTCTCATATTACATTGAATTACCATAAACTCTATCATTTAATTGCCTTGACTTCTTGATTCATTATAGTTTGAGAGTAACAACCCCCAATATGTTGGTGAGAAAATGAAATACTTTTAAAATTGGGATAAATCTTTTACAATCATTTTACATATATTTTGTTTAACAAATATTGCACAAACAAAAATTCCAATAAAATAAAGTAAATATAAGAAAATAAACCCCTTGAGCTTTTAATTTGCAACAGGCCATTGGAGGGGATTACACATTAAACCACAGTTTCTACCAATTTAAAGATTTTGGTCTCTATGATTTGCTTATATATATGTAATATAGTAATTAGTATAGTTAATGTGCTTAAATATTTGTTTAGCCCTATAACGTTTGGAAGAATCTGCTGCTGACTCCAGCTCTGTAAAGCTTCATTACATCACTTTCTCCGGTTATGTGAATCTCGTTATGAGCTGGAACAAACAAAACATCTCCTTGGTTAACCAACAATTGAGTAGAACCGGTTTGTAATTTCCCTTCTCCTTCAATAACCAGATAAACCGAAGGACCCGGTACTGCCGGTAAAACCGTAGATCTTCCTAGAGGAAGTTCACAGTGATCAACTTCAAACTCATCAAATGGTGGTAGATACCTAGTAACGTAAGGAGTCAGAGGGAATCCTTTCAAAATCTCCGGGTACCCCTGAAAAAAATCCGATATACCGGTTAATCGATAAACCAAAACAATCTCGTATTTGGTTTACTAACAAAACCAAACGGTTAACGTGTAAAGAAAGTTATGAAAAGGTTAACGTGTAAAGAAAGTTACCAGTTTATAGGTAAGCATAGAGCAAAGGGTTTGAACATCGCGGTGTTTAGGAGTAAGACCAGCTCTAACAACGTTGTCTGAAGCCGCCATACACTCGATACAGTCGCCAGAGATATAAGCGTGTGGCTCGTTCGCGTCCAGATACAAAGCCTCTCCAGGATTAAGCTTGACATAGTTAAAGAAGAAGGCTGAGATCACACCAATGTCACCAGTGTACTGTTTCTCCAGTTCCAAAACTAACTTCTCTTTATCCGACAGTTCACGGTGTTTAGTCTCAGAGATCAGACGAATCTTCATACGAGATATCACTTGCTTTGTCTTGCTGCTTTTTGCAGACATCAACTGCGTGAAGATCAATCGAACAACGGATTTGATTCTTTCTTCGTCATCGTGTTCATGGACTTTGAAGATTTGACCTGCAGCTTTGCTTCCTACAAGCTCTGTAATCTCTGGTACATTGGCTATAACCTCCTTCAGCTCCTGATTCAACATAAGGTACAGAACCGGTTCAATTTAGCTTTGGCAGAACCAAATCAGAATCAACTTTATGTAACTCAAATGTGAACCATACCAAATCAAACCAGGAAATTGGTACGATACAGTTTCTTTAAACCAAACCGGATCTAGGGAAAACTTTATTGTTGATCTCAACCACAGACTGACACAAATGTTTTTTTGCAGAGAATGAGAGAGAGAGAGAGAGATCTGAAATGTGTAAAGTACCTTAAGAGATACAAAACCACAAAGGGCTTGGAAAGGAGTGACTGCGAGAGCAATCTCAGGCTTGTGGTTAGAATCTCTGTATAGTAGAGGCTCTTCTCTATGCAATTTCTCTGCTAATGACTTATTAGGATGTGCCTGAATCGATAATGCTTTCGTCACTGACAATACCTAAACAAAATTTCACATTTCAAACACTTTTAGATACAAATCTGTATGCTTTAAGTAAAGAAACAAGAAAAGCCCAAACTTTTAATAATATAAACAGAGTCAAAATCACAAAATGTATCATCATCATCAAAACAGAGCAAAGAAAACAGAGAAATTGACCATAAGATAGAATCTGTAAAATCCAAT